GGAATAAATAAACATACCGACTTCAAATTTATATATTGGAAGATAAGAGACGCACGGTGTTGTTTATAAATTTGGGGCATACGTGAAAGATATGAACTCTGTCATGCATCACCAAATAATCCAAAATTTTATATAAGCTTTCAGGTTGACGGAGTTGAATCAAACAAACAGGGCCATGGTGTGCAGGGTTTCGATTCTACTAGAACAGTCGTCTTCTGAGGGTGTTGCTAGCCAAATTGGATTTTGCTACTTTTAATTAAGGAAGAAGAAAGAAAACTGGAGAGAAGGAAGAAGTGATATTTACGTAGCTCGGTTGATACTGTTTTTATTTGATTATACTGTAATTGGTGGACTCTTACGTACGTTTTAGAAACCCATACGAGTCTCTGACTTTGAACTACTAGAAGTAATTTACAAAAAAGAAAAAAAGAAAAAAAAGAAAGAACTACTAGAAGTAGCCCCTAAAGAAAACAAACACAAATCTAATTTGTCAAACTATCCACGGTAAATGTTTGAATTAATTAATTGTTCAATTGTAGCTATCACATATTTAATAGTTGTTGATAATAATAATAATTATTTATAATTAAAAATATTTAATTTATTTAATTAAAATTAATAACTTATGGAAATAATGCCTATCAGTTTTACTTCCTAAAAATTAAGAGAAAAATCATTTCAAAACTACATCATTTCAATAAATTTTTATTGAAAAAGACTAAACTATCATATTTTTAAAGTATACATTAAGGTGATTTTTGCCTTTTTTTCTTTTTAATTTTTTGGAAGTAAAGCGAACAAACACTAATCTCATAACCTATAACTATTTATAAATTTTTAAAATAAATACCTACTAGATTAATAGAATATTACAGACCGAAAAGGGACACAAATGCTAGCCTTTTTTTTTTTTTTTTTCCAGGTAAAGCGAACAAACACTAATTCCATAACTTATAACTATTTATAAAATTTTAAAATAAATACCTCCTAGATTAATAGAATATTACAGACCGAA